TAATATTCGGCAATGATTTGTTGAACCTGCGTAGCAGTGTTATTATAAACAGAATTGCAATTTCCATCAGAATGATAACTCCAAGAATTGAAGCAAATGTGATCCAGGTGTTCCATGAACAGTAGCCTGAAAAGTAACAAATAAATAACCTGAGCAACAAAAGCGACTAAAAGTACTGAAAATCGATATAGATTGTGAAATTATGTGACACATAGGTAGACTATGCCCCACCAACTTATTGCTAAGCCCAGGTGTTTTCGAAAAATAGAGTCTTCCTTATTGTCTTGCTCCAAAGAACTCTTCAGTTGGTCTCTCTCCCCCTTTCCCTTGTGTCCGCCCTCCCCCACACCCCCCCCCTTCTTCCTTTCAATCTGTTAGTCCATGTCCGGATTATCAAATCGAATTACATTTAAGAGCCTACTTTTGTGAGCCTCTCTGCACTGACTAATGCTCTTTATTTCCATTTGCCCATTATACCACGAAAGTATTTATTCGTTGGAAACTTTACTCATAACATTCGTCTCAATGCAGTAAATTCTTTTAAATAAATTTATCCACAAATAAATTCAAGAACTTACCATGGCGAGCCTTTTTCTTTAATAACAGTGGTATTTGACATTTCTCCAAGAATTTTGCTATCGCGTATATTGCAGAGCATATGAAAAGCACGGACTCTGGCCTCTACAATTTCATCTTCAAGTGGAAGGTCGAATGCGAGCCAAGTAGTCTCAAATTGTTTCCATTCTGAACTGCTGTTTCTGTAATGAACCCGATATTTAACCACTTCTTCTTTCGAAGCGTTGACCGTCTCCCACGTAAGACTGCAATGTGCTGCAGTTGGGCATTTTGTGGAGGTGGAGCTATATGAAAGGAGAAACCGCATATGCACTCTCACAATTTTGTCACCATACTCCATGGATTTGAACATTTGCTACATATCTTACCACTTACCCCATCAAATTAGTGAACCTTCTCATTTGCGCCTGGTGGAAGAATTGTAGATAATCGTGTTTTTGAATACTTTTACTAGTTCACTAGTGTGATCTTTGCATACACTTTCGAAATATTGATTGGATTATTAATTTTCAATTCGTGTCACACATTAAAATCGGCGAGGCGAGATCGGTGCTGCATTCTATGCGTTAATTGGTAATATCACCACTTTGATCCCTTTATTTCGTCATTGTTTGCAGCACACGCATGCAAACAGTGAGAGAGATTATTTGCTGTGAGATGCTTGTGGAGGAATTGCAATTGCAACAATGATAGATCGGCTAGTTAAGGGACATTGAAGTCGTGAGAAGCACTAAATTTGCATTATAAATTTAAAAAGCATTTATTCAAAAGAAGCAGTGCTCTAAACATTCTGCTCAAAAAAACATTACATACCTTAAGGCAACTTTATTCAATAATTTAATTAAAGATCATACGTGGGGGAATCCTTCGAAGAAGAATTACTTCTTGTAATTCTTGTGTCAAGAGTTTCGTCCGATAAATCGCGTTGACTTTTGTGTCTCTAATATTTCATTCAAAAAGGAAAGATCTAATTTATTCGTTGTTGTATCTAGTATCTGTCAATTTGAGTCACCGTTTTGGTAATGAACCCGAAAAGCGACGAAAAGGCAGCCAATCGGATTTACACGATCCCATGAAAGGCGTGCCTTTTCATTCCCATTATGACACACTTGAATATTTTTTGGAGATGCTATATAAAGGGAGAAACCACTTTCAATACTGTCCTTAATTGCACACGCATCATAGCATCGTATCAAAACAGGTGTCATTAAAAATTAGTGAACAAAGTAGCATTTGTACCATGTAAAATGCAAGTTTGTGGACATGTTTGTTGCGATTCGTGTTAGGGGACGTAGTGTTCAAATTGTGATTGAAAGTAGGCTGCCAACAAGGCCTTCCTGTTTTTAGCAAGTATCTCAACTGAGTGTCCAGAAATTGATTTTAATATATAATCTGACTGATATGGCATGCTTATGCGGTTTATACGCAGCGGAGCGTTTTATGCACGCAGACAATATGAAAAGGTTGTGCTCGTTTGAAAGCTCTGCAGTTGAAATGGCATTGAGTGTTTCAAAAGCGAGATCAAAGTTCCAGTTACACAAGCTACTGTTGCCTTGAGCCGTCTACTTGAAATGATGCCAAGATCACTTACAAATCGCCTTAGAGTGAATTAGGGAACAGGTTATGGCTTGTCTGCTGAAAGTAAGGCTCAGCAATATGAATGAAACTGCAGGAAAGACTACTTTCTAAGCGTTGTTCGACATGACGTCACCTCAGTTTAAGTGGAACTGACCACAGACGTTACTCAAAATGGATAATTAAGACAAAATAGTTTGAAACAGGTTGCTGTTTCTAAGTTTTAAGAAAATAAGAGGGTTGGTGGGGGGGGGGGTACTAACGGAATGGCCATTTTGAAGTGTCAACGGGATATTTTGCAAAATGGCAAAGATAATACCTCATTCTTGAGGAAGGTACGTACGTCAATCAATAAGGTGTGACATAATTCACTTGTAAAAATGTTAGGAGGTCTACAATAAGTTTGAAAATTGCTGTGGCAGTAGTGGCGTGAGGGTCCTTCTTCTGATAGGCTGTAAGACTAATGGAACACGTACATTTCCTAGGCAAACGAAGGTTGGGGCTGGTTTGAATGACCGTTGTCAAAAGGACAATCACATGCACCATGGAGATTTCATGCATTGCCCAATTGTCACATATGTGCCCAAGGAGCCCTTCACAAGCCAATGATAAAAAGTATTTCCACTCCACCTCACGAATGGAAATATTCAGAGAGTAAGTTAGACCAGATCTTATTCCCTAACCATTGGCAACTAATAGCATTATCGTCGCATGACGATATGCTCACAAGTATTCCCAGACTGATAAAATGGCATTTCTTCCCATACAAATAGAACGCAACAAAAGTTTGGACAGAGTTGGGAAATTCTTGCGTACATGCAGTTCATTCATGATTCTGCCATCTACATTTAGACAAATGTGTATTCAAATTTATTGCCTACAATTCCTCCAATTCCATTTGGTTTAGGAATACAGCTAATGCAAGGAATGCAGCGTACTAATAGCGATAGAGCTGAGCGAGACCGCAATAGCACGTGCACCTTTTATTTTTATGCGACTACTTCATACAACTGTGCTGTGAAGTGCTCAACGTTGCCCCCCCCCCCAAACACCCCCACCCTGAGATGTCTCCAAGGCTTACTCCACAGCAGAAATCAGAGTCCCAAGAGATATTGGGTTATGGTGATCATAGTGGACACAATTATGTTCACAGAGGTCTAACAATTCAACTGTTGGTAGTCTTAATAGGCTAATGGACTCAAGTATTAAAACTGACAATGGTAAGGTTAAAAATGAAGTTTTTTGTCTTAATGCCACTTAGAGAACACATAATGTATAATGAGTGCATTAAGAGTGTGAAATAAGATCTGAAATATTTCCATGGAAGCATATTAATTCAACTCGTGGCAATTTAACAATTTCGATTTTTGACTCACCAGGTTTAAGACAACAATATTTTCATTCATCTGAGTATATGATTCTGCCAAATTGAGCAGAGCACATGTTTTCCATCTATTTTACAGCTGAACCAGAGATGTCGCGTATTCCGACAGGTCATGGGTCATATATGTCTGGAATATAAATGTTTGCCACACCTTATGGACAAACGTATTTACAACCTTCAAGAATGAGGTGTCATTTCTACCTCTATGTGACACTTCTTGTTACCACGACGCAGTCTCAAGAACGTAAGTATTCACGTTATTTGCACTCTATTTGGTACAGTTTTACTCATTCAACCTGTTTTGTCGCTATTTTTAAATTTCTGCATAATGTTGGTCGTCTGTTTCACTTACCATCTATAAGGAGATATTGAATTTATTGAACTATAAGAAAGGAGTCGTTCATTCAGTTTACTTAAAGGAGCCCCTACCTTACGATTAACTGACAAATTATTAACTATTTCTGAATTAATTCCATGGCAGTTTGAAGACATCCTTGGCATTGATCTAACTTGAAGTGATAGTGTTAGGCATGAAATGATTGCAATTGCATGAAAAAATCTAAAGAAAATAAGTTGTAACTTCATATGCACTTTTTCCTTTCATACAGCATTTTCAGTACAAAATGTCCAACTGTGCCAAATTGGGAAGACCCGGGCAAGACTTACCTATGACGCAGATGACTTTCCAAGCTATTGTTCGTTGGATCCGGGATATGACATTTTCTACAAAGACGGTGACTCAGATATGAAAAACCGTTATGTATACACACTTAAAGAAACCTTTGACTTTAAAGGAAAAACTTTTGAGGTAAAAGTCGAGCCTAAGTGCTCGAACCGAAATGGAATACCTTATCCTTCAAAGCCAAAATCAATGATTATTCAAAAAATCACTGAATGTAAGTTTTTAAACAAATTTGTTGCGTTGAGCAGTAAGAATGGAGTAATGCCTGTATTAAAGAAGTTCTCCTCTAGTGTGCTTTACAAATTTTGTGTTTCTCTTCCTCCTCTAAAGCTCTGACATCTGGAAACATTTATGTATTTATTTGTTTATTTATTCATTTATTCCAAATGGCAGGCTCTATGACATTTATCATTAGCACTTAAACTTTGACTTCAGCTTCCCCCAAGAGTGGGAGGTACATATATGGTAGTAAATTAATAGCAGTTCATTAGCTGTCTTCTTGCTTCCCAGTATCTCTGGCTTTCCGTCCTTGTCTTTAGGGCTGGACACCGAATCAGATGGGTCTTCTCCATTTCCTCCTGTAGGTTACATAGGGGGCATGTGGGTTGAGTGTATACTCCCAATCTGTGAAGGTGTTTTGCCAGGCATTCGTGTCCGTTACGTAGTCTAAACTCAGCAACGGCTTCGATTCTTGGCCAGTCGGGTATGTCGGAGAGTGCCACTGTCCACTGTTTCTCCTTTGTTCCAGCTTTAAGTTCGTTGCACCTTGAGATCAACAATTCTCTCCTAATTAAGGTCTTCATTGTGTGGAAAGACATTGGCCGGTCTATGCCTTGCAAAATCGTTGTTCCCTTCTTAGCAAGTGTGTCAGCAACCTCGTTGCCTTTAATGCCACAGTGACCAAAAATCCTGAATCTCGTTGCCTTTAATGCCACAGTGACCAAAAATCCTTTGTAGAACCACTGTTTTGTTTTTCTCTCTCAGCAGCTGATAAAGTTGTCTACATTCCTTTATCTCAGCTGTTTTGGGTGGTTCTCTGCTTCCAATTGAGTTTATAGCTCCCTGTGAGTCCGACAGTATCACCACTTTGGTGGATTTCGTATCAAGGGAACAAATTGGGCATAGTGCTATCCCAATGGGCCCTATTTCTCCTTCAATAGCGGATCTATTGTGTCCCGCTGCTGCGTAGAAAGAGAAAAGTTCAGAAAAGACACCTGCACCAACGTTTGCTTGGTTTTACATGTGTGACCCATCAGTGAAGACTTGTAGCCATTGATCTACAGGATAGTTGACATTGATTGTCTCAATTTGATCTACAGGATAGTTGACATTGATTGTCTCAAGGGCCACTGAGCGCATTTGTTCGTGAAGGGGGAGCGCATTTGCTCTGGAGGAGTGTTTGATTTCCTGAAGACGCAGTTGGGTGCAAAACACTACATCAATGTCTGCTAATGGGTTCATGGGGAGAGAACACTTGGTTTCCTGAAGAAGTCGAGCAGTTGGGTGCGACACACTACATACAGGTCTGCTAATGGGTTCATGGGGAGAGAGAGGCTTTTTGGTGCTGCTAATGGGTTCATGGGGAGAGAGAGGCTTTTTGGTTTGTCATCGATTTGTAATTCTTTCTTCAGTTCTATGGCTTTCTGTGTTAGACTAGATTGCGTTTTCGGATGTCTTGATCTACTCGCATAGGTGAAGAAGTACTTTTCCATGGTAATGCGCAGTAGCTTCTCATTCAGGATCAAGCCCTTCTTTTTGATAAAGGAACATATATTTTGGTGCTCCCTGCAACCAGGAGCATTGCATCAATGGGTGTTGATTTTATCCCTCCAGTAATTATTCGTAATGCTTGGTTGTGTGCCTTCTCGAGTGGTTTGAGAGTCACCTCTGTGGCTGCAATGAGTGGCTCACAGCAATACAACATTATTGGCTGAATAAACATCTTGTAAGTGGTGTTGTGAGTTGAGCGCGCACAGCCCCATACGCTACCAGCAAGACGCTTCAGTACATTCAGTCTATTGGAGACTCGTTCTGCTATTATAGTAATGTGATTTTTCCACGTTAGCTTTGTGTCAAACGTCATTCCGAGATAAGTGAACTCACTAGTTTTTTCTAGGGTAGTATCCTTGTACCTTAGAAGTGGGTTTATGCTGTGACCTGCCAAAGAAAATGATTAGAATACAGATTTCGCGGTGTTGATTACCATTCTATTGTTGTCACACCAGTTTGCTAGTAGTT